CCCCAAAACCCCAAAACCCCAAAACCCCAAGCTGAATAATTTGTAGAAAATAGAAAAAAACCATTTTAGAAAGTTAATTTTATTTGATATATTATGATATGGGTTTTTCTTTGTAGCTTTTCACTTTAGGCAGCACCTACATCTATAGAATACTAATTTGAGTATTCTATAAAGCTGAAATATATAAGCTGGGACTATTAGTATTGCTAAAGCTATCGCTCCTACTAGCAATCCGATTGATATAACTATAGGCAAAACGAATATGGCTACCAATATCTGACAGAAACAGTTACTACAAGTTCTATCGATACATTTAACACAGCATAGAATTCTGGATATAAAATCATCATCATAGTTATCGAAGTATTTTCCTATTAAATAAACTGGTGGTGCTAGTAGAATGATTAAAGGAATACCAGCAAATATCAAGATATTCAAAAGAATTACCCAGATTCTGTGATAAGTGAAATACTGTTGGCCAGGGCAACCAAATACATTGATGATGCTATAATGATTGCTTGTATATTTTTTCCCGCAAAGCCAGCACCAACTATATCCACACTATCGACAAGTCATATGATTGCACCCTGCAATTTTCTCTAATCTAACTTTACATTTAGGGCAGTTACTTATATTGCCATTATTAGCTGCCCAACCGAAAAATTCTTTATCCATTGCTTCTTTACATTTTATCTTACCATGCCATTCTATGCCACAATCAAAACAAATTTCCATACCACATTCACATTTAACTTTTCTGCTCTTTTTATTTTTCTAGATATAATGATTACAGTTAGGTTTTGGGCACCATTTTAGATTAGGATTCAAATTTACATCAATATTTTCCTTAAACTTTAAGTACTTCATGTAAATCTCTTAACTTCCAAACTTTCTTATATCTTCTCTAGTGAATTCTTCTTTACAAGTATTCTAAGGGCATTTAACTTTCATTACTTAGCCATTAGTTACGTTAAATTCAAGGTAGTCGTAAAGACAGTTAAGACAGAACTTATGATTACAAATAATACCATACATATCAGTTTCCATATAATTCATATAGCATATCTCACACATTACTCCACCAAAATCAATTGGTTAAGCTCTTTAAACAGGTTCTATAGGTGCTGGCTTAAATTCTTAACTAGGAAGATGGAAATGAGCCCCAAAGTTTTAAAGATCGATTGATTATCTTGATACTTGTCTTTAATTAATAGGTGGAATAGACCTTCTCTATTGTAAATATGTTATTGGATTATCATTTAAATTAGTATTCGCTACAATATGATAAGCGATATTTTAATTAACGTTTAGAATTTGCATTCTTAGTTCACTTAATCTTGTCTTTTCATCTTGATGCTCAATAGCTACTTCTTAACAAATTGCACATTTTTATGAGAAAATGTCTAATTAGTATTTGTGAGTATATCCATTTGGACCTTTTATCAGAAAATCTACTCCTTAATTAGTGTCTGTAACATTCTCAAACTTAAGTAGATTATGAACGGTTTTCATATCAAATCCCATTAATAGTAAATCTAGTTTTATCATTTTCTCAGCAATACTTAAACTATTATCATTATCTTCCTCAAAACCTTGAATAATTTAGCCATTATTTTAGGGTACATCTTCAAAATACTTTTTTTTGGAAGGAACTAGTGTTTTATTTTTTATTTATCTTTGTTGATAAGTTATTGGCTTCAAGTAATCATCTAATTCCTAGTCAACATTGCATTTATCATTAATTAGCCTTGATTCTTCATCATCATCTTACGGAGTCTAGATATAGCCTTCTTTTTACTCCTCTTAATTATGCAGTGTTAAATCTCGTAATATCATTTTATGTTTAGTCTTATAACCATCGCTAACTTGCTTAACTAGCAGCATATGCTCAGGGTCTAGATCTCTTTCTAATTAAGCTAATCTTCTATTATCTTTTAAGATTTCTTTATTGTCTGGCCCAAAACTATGAGATCTATTATTGATGTATTCTTATGTTAATTTCTCAGATGTGTTCATATTAGGCCCAATTAAGCTTCCAGAATGCTTATTCTTTTATCTTTTCATCATTTCAAGATCTTCATTCTATTTTATCAAATTATTTAAAATTTATTGAGTTACATCCTGTTCTAGTAGCTTTTATTGATCATCAGGAAGCAATTAATACTTAGCCGAGTTATTTGCTTAAGACATTTATGATAAATATTATCAAATGTAATAAATCCTTAATTAATCCAAATGTGAAAAAATGGGGTTTTGGGGTTTTGGGG